TGAGCAGAGTCATAGCCACATGTAAGCATCAGACAAGTTGCAGTAGTGCTTTTCTCATGAGAGACAATACTTAATATTAGAATAAACACACCTCAGCCTACAAAAGGAAGACTTTGAATGTATAGCTTATTTGCTTGCCTCCAATGTCATATATTAAAGTGGCCATGTTCATTAGAGGAGTAAACGTGAATGTGCAATCAAGTGCTAGATTCCTCTGTGAGACGAGATGATTCTAAATGGTTTATTTTCCTTTTCAAAATGAAATTTTAAACTACTTTTAGTTGTCTGCTTGTATTTATCTATCTAGGTGTTTTGAGAAAACAAGGTACAGAGTTGCACCCCATTACTTGAGATGTACCCCTTTTGATTTGCAGGTGCAATGAGGTACAACCTATGTACATTGTTTTCCCAGAGTGTGGAAAAAGTGCTTTAAATTTCTGGAGGCTGCAGGTGAAGAAGAGTAGTGCTTTTGCTTTTGTATCAGATCTATCTCTTGATGTGAGTGACATCCCTTAAGATAATATTTGTGGCCTCAACAATGTATTCAATATGCACTTTGTTTAACAGTTGGATTCTGTTATAGGGGACATAGTACACAATGTTTGCTCGGATCCTTTGACTAACTGATGTTTTAGGCTGAGGAAGTAGAAATGATAAATAGGCCCAATAGTTTCTGTTTTGTTTCTTAGCATTCTTTTGCATTTGTTCTCATATTTGAGTTTCTTGTTGCCTTTGTTTGTGGAATGGGCTGATTTAATTAAGACCCTCAGTATAATTAGGTTATATCACATACTGTACATCAATCACACCTCAGATACATGTTGTTATAGGCATAGCATTTCAGTATGCAGGCCTTGATTAATTGCTTACAGTCTTCATTCAGTAATTTATAATTTAATTACTAGCCCAGTGAATAATTGTTATGTGTATACAAATGAACGAGACAGTGCAATCATCAGTCATAAGATTTGAAATATGTGTGGGTTTTTTCCACAGGTAGATGACTAAAACATTTCTAAATGTTGCTGTAAACACACTTTGTAAAAGATGCTCAGACCAGCTTAGTTGTAAAAATGGGGGCACTGAAAATAATGGGCTGGGTCAGTTTGATAGTATCTTAAATACTAGATGACATCATTCAAGTATTTGGCTCATTACATCAGCTGCTAGAAATCAATCTGAAATATTTATAGCAAGCAAAGCACACTGCAGCTTAGTAATGCAATTTATGGTTCTATTCAAATAATGAATATGAAACATATAAAATGAATTTGTGTATATTAGACATGGTCACAGTGTCTGAATCACTTAAGTCCACCACCCCAGTGCAACACCAGTGTTATGTAAATACTCATACTGATAGATTTTTGCATTTAAACACATTTGGTAATTAACCAAGCTTTACGATGCTTTGATGGCCTTATGCAACTTGAAAAATATTTTGTCAATATTATTTTACATAAAAGCACAAGAGAGTTTCAAATGACTTATGACTCAGGCTTTTCAAGGTGGTAAAGTCGAGAAAAGGGAGGCATGAGAAAGCAAATCTTTTATTCTATGAACGGTGAGTGTTCCTGCTTCCTAAAGATTTATTATTAAAAGACTGTGTTTTGATTGTATTCCAGTTGTTTTACAATTGTATTCTTGTACAAGTATATACTTCTGCTTTGGCTTGATGGATTAGAACTTTGTCATAAATTATTATGATCGCTACTATTTGGGAGATGTTGCATTCAAAGAGTGCTCCACACAAACTATGGGAATTTGTTTTCCACTAAATGAGCAACGCGAGCTGCATTGTGATGTTAAATTCTTTGGAGAAATTCTGTATTCATAATAGTGCTCTTAATTTCTTGTGATAAAAGCTTTCTGAAAGTTTCACAGAAATGATTAGAATTGTGTATATGGAAGTGTTTGTATCCTCGATTTTGTACCAATTTTGTTAGTAAACAAAGGTTTTATCTTTTTAGTATTCCTGTGCTCTCACTGCAATAATGAATATTTGTATCAGCATTGGTTGCATTAATTGTTGCTTTTGGAGACTTGCAGCTGTTTTGTGTTTAGGTTTTTCTACAGTTTTTGTGCTTCATTTCTGTAATAAAGAGTAACAATGGAGTATATATACAACAATGCTTGATATTTGACTTATTCAGTGTCAACTCTACCTGGCTCTGCAGCTCATTTAAATCTTAATCAAACATCATTTAACTACATTTGCAGGCTTTCCATAACCTTCAGTGAGCTTGCTGCCACTTAATGTCTTTTTTTGAAATTGACACACTGGAGTTCTGAATCAACCTTTTATCCTATTTCTTAAATCATGTGGGGAACACCCCACAAGAGCTGCAGTTGTGGAGATGCTCTGACCCGTCGCCTAGCCATCACAGTTTGGCCCTTGTCAAAGTCGCTCACATCCTCATGCTGCCCATTTTTCCTGCTTCTAACACATCGACTTTAGGACAAAATGTTCACTTGCTGCCTAATATATCCCACCCACTGACAGGTGCCATGACAACCAGAAAATCAGTGTTATTCACTTCACCTCTCAGCGCTCATAATGTTGAGTGTACCCCTGGGCCCCTCTACTTTTGGGCTAAGCCTTGAGTGTTTATGTCCGTCTCCACCCCTGTAAGAGGGCCCATGTGCATTATTTACATGATAGGAAATTATACACATATCGTAGGCTCCTATTTTAGGGGAACATATTCCCAAATCTCTAAAATCTATAATCACTCACCTACTATAATAAGACCTTAAGTTTTAAATTAAATATGCATGAGTTTGTTACACATGAAAGCATTGCATAATCTTTCCTTTACACACTGGTAAACCACAGATAATTAACAACCAGTTGTCAGTTTCATCAGTGTGACTGGTGAGGCAAATAGAAGCTTGTTGGTGAATCTACCTGGGGAACTAAAGCACGTGAAAACGGACACATGCGTCATCCTGTTGGCAGACAACCCTGAGCCAGGGGGATGTTTTTCAAGCTGTGGGCCACAGTGACCATTTCTCACTGGAAACTCGGGAGTGAACTCAGGAGGTGTTTGCCATAATTTTGAAAAAAAATGGAAGACTGGAAATCCTGTCCTACCCATGTGTAAGGTCACACTCTCCGTGAAACTGTGTGCAGAGAGGAAGTGTTCACATAGACGAGGAAATCTGTTCCCAAACTCAGCCATAGCTTTTATCTTATTATATGATCCAGACTCAAATGTAAGAACAGGTTTACAGAACAAATCTTCAGTTTGAAAGAGCTTTGATTGTTGACTATAATTACCATCAGTTACAATGAACAATATTTATTGTCAAAGATTTACAATAATTTATACAACTTTTCAAAAAAAAATCTAATTGATATATACTGTTTGCTACTGTGTTAAAGTTGTATTTCTAGCTGGAGGAAGGTGAAGACTATTTGGAAAGAAAAACGCTTGCAAAAAACAAAACATCTCTAAAATAAATCAATAATAAATCAAGAATCACATAATCAAGAATGTTAATGTACAAGCAATACCAGAACCACAGCAGAGACATCAAAAAAGCAACCAATTAGGTGACACTGCTTCATTGTAGCAGGAGCAGAGCTGACAAATCCTGTTTCTGAACATGAAAAGAGTTACAAGGCATGACTATAGATACAGTTATGGATAAAGCCATCCAGATCTCTCTGTGTTGGAGCATCCTCACAGTGCCAGGGTGTCTTTAATCAGCCTTCTCATTGTTGTGCTCACAGAGGTGCCCAGAGAGTCAGTGATCTGGAATGTGATTTTGTAAAGGTAGGGCTGGACATCTTTGAGACTGGTGTCAAAAACATTGTCCACTTCAGACTGGGTGGGCATCTTTGGCAGGTATTCATGGCGGTTTATGACCTCGACGACGTTGATCACCTTCTCGCCCAGCTTCTCACCCACTTTCTCCCTACAGATCTGTCTCTCCTGCTCATTGGCGAGGTTGACAACATTCACCTTGATGCTCCACACCTCCCAGGGAATGCACTCGTCAGAAAAAGGCCAGCGAGACTTCTTCTTCTGGTAAAACTCCAGGGAGATTTGCCCCATGCCATCGCTGCCAGAGTTGCCTAAAGCGTCCTGTAACCAGAGCATATGATCACATCGTTAAATTATAGGCCCGCCTAGGCATTACAGTCAACAATCACGTGTTGAAAACACCAGTTACCTTGAATTCAGACACAGCTTTCCTGATCACTCTGTCCAGCTCCTCCGAGGACACCCTGACAAACGTGAAATCGATGAAGTCGCAGTCGAAGTCTAGTGTCCCCACGGTACCAATGGAGTAGGTGCCCTCCTTCTTGTAGTGAAATTTCCCGGTGCTGCGATGCAATAAAATGGTGTGCAGCAAAGCTAACATCGCTTCCTCCACCTGCCTCGCCTCCACGGTCACTTCAAGAACCTCCGAGCGACAATTCATTGCGAAGTGAAAGTTATTTCCATCTACAAGCGACGACTCGAGCAGGATGACGAGGGCTACTGTGTGGCAGCTCGGTCACGTTTAGGTGACGAAGATATGTTGTTTACCTCTACAGATGGGCGGGGCCTCTATCAGCCAGTGTATTACAGTATATTAAAATACAAACTAACGTTGTTTACAGGACTCCCTACCTCCAGCTGTACTGTGTGCGGAGTAAACACACAGGCATCGTCACGAAAGCTAGCTAGCTAAGTGTTTGCTACATATGGGACAGGAAGATGTGGTAATGATGGTGAGAGGACAACCTACGGCAAGTCGCGAAGTTCAAAAAAACCTCTTTTGGAGTCGTTTTTTTGTTTTGTTAACTCCGTCCTGTTAATCCAACTGCTTTGACGTGATACAGCACAACGTCGTACTCTTGAGAGAAACACAACTCTGTAAACATCACAGTTAAGTGTCAGTCAGGACAACAACACGCGTAAGTCCGCACGAGCACCAGACAACAACAAACGCTCGCATTTTGCCGCGGTGCATTCTGGGACTTACAGTTTGTGCCACATATCCGTTTCCAGACGGCAACTTTGTACAGTCAGACTGCGCTGCGGACCGAGTCCAGCGGCGAGGACTGCACTCTGCGCCTTCAGGATGTTTTCCCGGGACTCTTTTTACCGTATCTGGATATCACCTGGCGGAGCGTAACCGTAGACCTCGGAAATAACTCCCGCCTGGGGAACTTTGGCGGCTTCGTTGCTAATGAAGAATAGCTAGTTAAGCGAACCGTGGCGAAGATTAGCTAACTAAGCTAACAACCGTATTCATTGAGAGGAGGAGAGTGTACTTTCTGCATGTTTATCTAAAGCCAGAAGCTGCCTTTAGGTCTTTGACAGTGCTGTAGGTCTGTATAACCGGTCTGTGTAATCTGAGACCTCTGTATGGCTTTTAAAAGCTGCTATGGAGCACTGCAACATGGGGAACAATAAGCAGGATTCGTTCTGGGGGTTGAGATCGGTGCTGTTTGCAGTTGCGGGAGATTGCTTTCATTGATTTCGCCGCTCCTTGACCAAATACATATTATGAGGTTGCCAGGAAATTTCCCAGAGGAGGTGTGTTAAGCTGTGATCATCGTTTTCATTTGCAAAGAATGTCCGACTCGGAAAGTTCCGGTTCATATTTTGGTTCGGAGGATCCGCAGTGGCTATGCATGGTCACACTTTTCATCGCGTCCCTGGTCACTTTGATACTGTATTTCGTGCAGTATTTCCAACAAAAGTGTGTAGGAAATAAGCAGAGAGCAGCAGAGGACAATGCGGCGAAGGAGGAAGCCGCCTCTCTGCTGGGATGGGCGCTGTCACTGAAAAGCTGGAAGAGTCAATGGAGAGGAGCTTGGTGCAGGGCTTTGAATGACGAATCAAGGAAGCGTGGGGTAAGTCTCATGACCATCAAGCCACCGCTCTACTCTGTGGTAGGCAGGTGACTTCAATAAACATAGTGCATCGTGTCATAGGTTGAAATAAACTGAATCACCTCATCTGTGCTCTCATACAGACAGCTTTTATAGACTCAGCAACCTCTCCAGCCCCATCCTGTGACATTACACCCACATTTTGACAGTTGACATCAACAGTCCCACTCTACTCCTGCTTCTTTCTAAAGCAAACAGTGTAACACTTGCACCTTCTGGCACAGCCTCTAAACCATCTGCGTAGTTTTTCTGTTCCTCAGAATTATCAAGTCAGAACATATACAGTAGTGTTGCCAGTGTGATCCACTGCATCCCAGATCATTACTCATTCATTGGCATCGACTTCAGCTTCCTGCTCTGTGAGTTGTGAAACGTGTTTTGTGTCTGTCTTCTTCTTCTCCTCCTCCAGGGTCCTGTTCTGTTGACATTTGGAGAGGATGATCTTGAGGCAACAGAGCTCATGGTCAGCCAAGTATCCAGCTTTCAGAAGTCTGCCAGACACAAGGTACGCTGACCATGAAGTCCTTTCAGTAATACGTGATTTGAAGGGCTTTTCCTTTGCCAAAACGCCTTTAAGCTGAATTTTTGTGGATGTTTTGTGTCGTGTCTTGCCACTGAGCGAGGTATATTATTTCCTGGGAGGTACTTAGATCAAGTGTACTATTGTTGAGTGCTGGTTTTGTGTCCTCCTCCTCCCAACCACTGAAAAATAATAGATTGTGTTTTCCACGGCAGCTTCAGCATCCATCAAGATTAGAGCAGCAGACATTTATAGATTTCTAATTTCCTTGTTTATGTACTTTATTGACAAAGGCTGTCCGTCAAATCAATCTCCTGGTCCTTATATCGGTGCAGAGGGAGCTACTATACAACCAGTGCTGCATTTAATCCTGCAGTACTAGACAAGCTCTGACTCATCAACTTGCCAACTTTGGTACAGACATTTCCCCTCGTTAATTTAGATTTGACAAATTAATCTGCGTAGCATTTTTTCAGGTGTCCATGTGCTCATTACAAAATCAAAATCTGCTACGAATGGATTCTTCAGCATCAAAAATATGATGGCTATGAAGCACTTGCATGGTGCTTCTTTTATCATTTATACGGAAAATGTGCCAACCTGCTGCACACTGTGTGTAAAACAAACTGCGACCAGAGGGCCTTTTATTTTAGAGGTCAGATAGGGCCAAATTGCTTGCTGTGTTGCTGGCCTGGTTGGCTTTGCAGTGCTCACACTGCAAACTCAGCCCTTTCTTTGTGATCATCATGATATGGTCCAAAATACCAGGTGTTCTGTTGTTGAATGCAGGGCATTTAATGAACAGAGGCTTATTTTTACCCACATGCTGTGTGTGTGTGTGTGTGCTAAGAAGCTTACATAGCTGTCAAGCTCAGCACTGAGGAGGAGCAGGCAGGCAGGAATGCACCAGCACCTATGTTTATGTTAAGGTTTCCCCTTACAGTGATCTGATATCCAGCTAGACACAAACACGCTCACCCAACACTGAAATTAGAATGAATACATATGTTTTAAGAAAGAGTACACTTTACCGTTGTGTGGTAATTTACTGCAGTACAGTTTATTTACAGATGCATTCCATTGCAGTACAGTTATTTATTATACTCACAGATGATTGAATCTGCTGATAATGTCTTTGGATGTTTGTGCAGATGTTCTTCCCTTTTCACAGTAGAGTGTGAACTTCTCCAAACATTTAGTTTTTTCAGTTTTCAGAAAGTCCGTGTTGTAAACACATATCACTGGTTTTATTTCCTTCTTTTTGTGCCACGTGTTTTGTGTGCAAGACTCTACACACACCCTAATTGAATGTAAATGTATTATGTATTAATCCTTTCAGTTCTTGTCACACATGGATAGACATACAGCACCTTATAGTTTAGTATAAACTCTAGTTTCCTTCCCGATTGGAGCTTATTTTCAAACGACATGGTATATCTACTCGTGAGTTGCATGCAAATGCTGTCCCAGGTTTACATTCTCGGTGGATTTATATTACACTAATGACTCACTTTGTCTTCCCAACAGGCCGCTTCCTGCAGTGTGGTTGGGGAGCAGCTTCAGTTCTCTGTCAGTGCAGTATCGACAGCCATGGCTTCAGCACATCCTTGTAAATACAAAGTCTGTATAACTCCACTGGAGCTGCAGGTAAATGCTCTATAGTTGGCCCTGGGCATCTACTACAGTTGTGAGTTTCTTGGAAGTAAACAATACTCATTTGTTCTTTTGTGAATGTCCCTTTAACACTGAGGCGTCTGACAACAGAGTTACATCCTTTGGAAGTCATTGTGGTTTAGTTTAATGGGAGATTTTATTGGACACGATGTGCTGCCCAGCATTGGCTCACTTCTGGCAGGAGTCTTAGATTAAATGGTTGGGATATCTTTCTGTGCTTGGCAAATGTCCCGAAGACCTCATTAAAATCCCTGTCAGGCTCATTTCCAGTGAGGCTGGCTCACTTTGTCTATTTGTCAGGGCCCAAACAGAATTGATGTAACTCTGCAGTTATGACTCTAATGACTTCTTGTTCTTACCTGGAAATTACAATGATGTATTTTATTTATCATGCCCAAATCTGACTGACTTCATTTTTCAGGGAAATATTCCCCTTGCTCACTCACAGTCTTTCCTAACACTGTTAGGAAAGACCATGACTCGTCCCTTTCGGGTGCAGTATTCAGATAAAGTAGAGTCGAAGGTGATGTGTTGGGATATGTATTGGGCGGTGTGCATTAATCTGTGGTAGGCTTTCACCCGGTGTTAACTCTTCACCAATGTATGGATACGAGTGGCTATACAAGCTAACCTAATTGTATTAAGGCTATTTTTAAAGGAATAAGGTGCTCATCGTCGCCCGCCTGAGCTTGTGCCATAAATACAACCTGAGTGAGAGACTCAAAAGTCAGGATTAGAGTCAGGGCGGTTTTGTTTTGGTTGTGGATCAGTTGTTGTTGCAGTAACATAAAGGAGGCCTCTTGTCTCCTTTTTACCCTAATTGTTTCAGCGTAGCCTGGAATAGTCAGAAAGCCCTTTCAAACGTCTCCATCCAGCCACTGGAACATTTGTTAGCTTTTGACTGAGATCCATGCTAGAAAGGTCCTGGCTTGTCATGTTATGAGTGCTGGGATATGTGGAACAGCAGCCCTGGGCATTTACAGTATATGGACACAATAATACACCCGGTACACTGCGGTGCGCTGCTGAGTGGACTTTGTCTTTTAACACACTACTGCACCACATGGTCTGTTGCATGTGATGGGGGACACGCATGTGACATCCCAATTCAGTATTCATCTTTGAAATGCAAACCCTACATTTACATAACTGAAGTATGACTTTACAACAGGCACTTTGGGCAGGTGATGTGAACCATGAAATGTGTTAATAGCTTTTTATATAATACACTACTACTTGGCAAACAATGCCTGTTCTTCAGTTCATGTGGATGGAGTTTCATTATTATGTTAACATATCCTTCCAGTTAATGCTGTTCGTATGAAGTGATCCAAATCATATCAATGCAGGCTGTGGTATTGTTCTTCTGGATCCATCTGAGCGTCCTCATTGCTATCTGATAAGGCCTTTGTTTGGCATCACAGAGGCGGCTGTTCAGTCTTACACTGGAATCCAGGCATGCTGGGACAGGATGGCCCAGTCTGTGCCTTTCTTTCTCTTTTCTCTCCCATTTTCTCTCAGTTGACCTAGGTGTGGATGTACGCCTCTCTGACCTTCTCCCATTAACCCATTTCCTGTTTGTCAGGCGGACTAGAGAGGCATTGCATAAGTTTGTTGTAGAGTGTATCACATTATTGCATCAGTCAAGGTTTTTATTTGACTGACTTGGTATACATAACGTGATTAAAGAGAAAGAATTAAGTTTCATAAAACAAAGAAAATGAAGAAAACTCTTGTGTAACTAATGGTAACCAAGATCACAACCACCTAAGAACACCAATTCCACACTCACACAGTCATCTACTCATTTTTCACACATCATAAATATTACTACAGATTTACTAATAATGAAGCTTATTAGCACTCTATGATTTCCGATCACCACGGCGTCATAAAGCATCAAGCTTTTCTTTTCTCTGTGTTCCTCAGCTTGATCTACAGATGCAAGAAGCTAATGATAAGGTCAAGTTGAGCTGGGGAGTGTCTCAGCTGGAGACAAGGGATCTGCAGGTGACACCTACTTCCACCCAGGTAATTTTAAGAGCGCAGATAATGAGATGTACCTGCTGTCTGTATAAGCGCTGTCAAAACAAAGGCTAACACACCAACAGAGGGAGAAATGTTTCAATGTACCAAAACCAAATATATTGACTGTTGATTTTGTGTTATAATAAACTGAATGTGGTTCTGTGATCATGGTTGTATAAATGTGAACTTTAGCATTTAACATTTAAAGTGGGGTGTGTGTGATTTGTCTAATCTCATAATCTCTGTCTGTCAGGACAATCCCAGCTCTCCCAGTGTAGCAGCCATAACGGAGCAGCTGAGGCAGCTATTATGTGCAACGCGTCCCTCGGTGCTGCTGAGCTGCAGGCCTGCTCAGGCCTCAGAGGTCAAGGTCAGTGGAGGAGTCATGATGCATGACATCATCTGCAAGTCATGCCAGGTTATTGTCTGCAGTATGCTGGCTATAATTGTATTTATACGATAAACTATCTATCAAATGGCAACGCGACAATGTGAAACAATATGTTGCTTGTATTGATGAACTTACAAAGAATGATCACCTGAATCTGCAGTTCCCCTCGGCTTTATGGGGCTTTGTAGTGAGTTTCAGCATATTGTTCAACTGCACCGCTGCAAATTCACTGTTTTGGTTCACTCTCACTGCTCTCAGAGTATTGTTTTCAGCATCACCATAGATTCCCACGCATCCTGGAAAATCTGGAAATTTAGAGACTAGTTTTCCAATCATGGAAACACTTGGAAATGTATTAAAACGACAAAATTTCCTGGAAATAATTTGTGTTGTTCTGAAAAAAACACAAACGTAAATCTGGGTGCATAGTTTGTTTGAAACTCAACTGTTGGCAGCTGTGCGGCACGACTCTTCAAAATGGGTGAACCAGATGTTAAGCGGAACGGAAAAACATTTCAAACACTCCTTTTTCAGTTCGGCCATGTCGGTCAATCTAGCTGTTCACACCAGACACGGAGTGGAACGGACGTGCAGCATACTTCTTGCCACCGTAATGAACCAGAGGCACAAAAAGCAGCATAAAACTGGAGTTAAAGTCAATGCTAGGCCTACCGGTAAATTATATGGCTGAAAATACGTCCTGGAAAATTATTTCTTAAAAAGAGTGAAGAACCCTGATAGAGTGTTGTGAAAATGCTCTAAAAAGCCAATGTACACTTCCTGCTCAGCACCGAACAGCAGACAGACTGGTCAACGAGTATTTAGCAGCCAAAAATATTTCACTCAGGAGTTGGTAGAGACAAAAACAACTAAAAGAGTTAGTATTGGATCTACTTTTATCGGGTGGACACAGACACGACTCCAAATGAATGATAATGTTGCTCTGTAACTGCTGGATGTGTCAGTAAGCAACTGTTTGCAAACAAGTTTGCTATATTTACATAAAGGATGATGATATGTCAGGGTTGTGTTCACAACTTGTGTCCGCTGCCCCCGAGTGGCTATGGGCTTATTGTTATTACGTTAAACTTGCTAAGCTACTAAATGTAAAAGATCTGTGAATAGACCATGTAATCATGGTAAACGTATGCCTGAATAAAGCCTGCACTAATACAGAAAGACTTTATTATGCTAATATGCCTTTACAAAAAGGTTTATACTGATGCACCCTACCCAGCCATCACATGACATCATTTCATATGTTTCTGATTTGATCATGTGTTCACATTTTAGTAAACTGTGGTTGGAATTCTTGGAATATAATCACAGTATAAAGTATAACCGGGTCTCAGGTTACAGTTAATTATATACTTTAGTAAACTGTTGATTTTTTCCTTGACTGATCAATCCTTTAGTCTATTAAGTGTCATAAATACTGACAAATGCCTATTGCAAGTCACCAGAGCAAAGTGGTCTCTTGAAATGTCCTATTTTACAAAGGTTTGGTATTTCTGTGATGAAAAAGGAGATTGTAGGCAGTAACCAGGTAATGTTAGCTGAATTCATTTGTTATCCATTTACTTATTAGCTCGTTGTTACAGCACCAGCTGATGTTATCCTCCCTACACCTGAATCCCCTGTGTTTTAAAGGTTTTAAAGGATCAAGCAGATCAGTATAAGGGCCAACAGATAAGACCGGATCTGTGACCCCCAGGTCCAGCCAGGTCTCTAATTATTAGGATTATCTGCTGTAAATCAGTTATCAGGTACTCTAAAATGCTCTGATTTCTTCTGTGTGTCTAAAAAGTGTTTTGTTGTTGGTGGTTGTAACAAGGAAAGACCAACCAAAAGTGCAAATTCTCCACAGTGAAATGATAATAAGATAATGAAAATCTGATGCAAATCATGGAGTACATTCTGTCAGCAGGGTTGTTTTGCATAGAGCCCTCAGGCCTTGTGTAAAGTAATGTCATATTGTCTTTCTCATGCAGAATACCATTAATACATCCATTAAAATACCCCTGAGGTGGAGAAGCTGGCAGTAGTTTTATTCCCCTGTAAATGTTTTTTACTCTGACACCTCACCATTTACAATAACCCTACTGTAGCTATAATCATACAATTTGACACACTGAAAAGGTTTTGTGATTCTGGCTTACTTCTCAAAGTAATGGAAATGGGGTGCTTTGCTTACATTGTTACTGTTAATATTGCCATAAGTAGATCAGTGTTGTTGAGTCTTTTATTTACTATGGTTTCTCCAATAGGAAGCCCACAACAACGTGGTTTCCCCCCCAAAACCCCCCCGCGCCCACGACTGGAAGCTGCTGGTGAAGAACATCCGGGTCACACTGAATCAGGAGGAAGATGCTGCAGGTCGGACACATATCTCCGTAGAAATAGAGAGTTACACGTGTTCTGATGAAGTGTAAAAGACAGCAAGTTGTGGTGTTATGCTAGCTTATGTGCTGGACCATTATCAGCCAAGGTTGTAAAGAACAGAGGCTGCAATTGGTAAATCAACTTACAATACAATGGCCTGCTCGTTCTGTTTTTTTCAGGCAAGTGTAATGCTGGTGGGAAATTTTCCACCTTCATTTATTTTATCAGTTCCAACAATCACATAATATGAGGACCTGATCATATTTCTCATTAATTCAGTGTTGTATTCTGGGACTTTATTTAACTTTTAAATTACTTGATTTTAAAACAAAAAAAAACACATACAGTAAGTAGCATACATTCTGTTATAGCTAATCAGCATTGAGTTTTTCATATGGTATTAGCGTTACTATTTTAAGCACTATTTCTGCCCGGCCTGTTTCTTTTCCCAACATACTGTGTCCTGTCCGGAGGCTCTCCAGATAACAACGAGGAGATCTGTTTGCCAGTTGGCTGTTAAAGGTGGTAATCTTACTGGTTAAGGCTGAACAATGTTGGCAGTATTTGAATAGTACACCCACATCAGTATCACTACACCCAGTGTGTTGGCCTGAACCGTGTCCCAAATTCAGTTTGTGACTCACTGGCCAAGAATATTCTTTACCAGCCAAAATAATAATGGCCTAAGTACATTTCATTGAGATAATAAGGTGTTATGTTGAATATAAACGTAAATAAGATAAAGGTCCAGTGTGTTACATTTAGGAGGATCTATTGGCAGAAAATGTGAGTCTTGTTTTTGTTACCTTTTAGAATGAGCGGTTTTTATCTACAGAGGAGGCAGGTCCTCTTCAACGGATTCCACCGGCATGTTTCTTCATGGATGAACCAAACACTGGCTCTAGATAGGGCCTTTTACGTTTTTCGCAAGTTTAAAGGCCACAGTATTTTGTCCTACAAGCAAACGGGAGGGTGATGAAAGGATGTTTTAACCTGCAACTACACCGCTAGATGACACTAAATTTGACGCACTGGTCCTTTAAATGTACTTGGGTCAAACATAAAAATGAATTTGGGGGTTTTGTAAGCCTATGAGATGTTTGTTCATTTTATTCACTCATCCGCAACCACCCTCTTCTTTGCACAGTCCAGCAACAACTTATAGTTTAGCAGATTAGCTGATGTCCCATACGGTAACAGTGCTGTGAAACTAGGGGCGCCGAGATGGTTGGTTTCACTGCTCTTTTTAGACCCATGTGAAAACGCGTATGGTACTGTGTTTGTGTCAAACTCCACCACAGACAGGAGGGGACAGACGCGCGGCGCCCGTAAATGAAACTGGGCAGAGACTCTCAAACGTTCACCCACCAGTGGGGAAGGTAGCTTTCTGAGATTTACTCACCAAACGGAAAATCTACCCGTATTTGGCATAGACCCTGGCTATGAACCTGCACAAAAGGGAGATTCCCTGTATGATGAGAGTGAAAACAAAGCACCACGGTGTTGTCAGCCATGACATTAAATGACAAGATGTTTTGAGTTGATGAGAGGCTGTTCAAATTATTGTCCAGTGACGACCATAACATCGTCACAACAACTTTGTTTTGGTAGTTCCTATGTTTAGTCATTCTCTTAATTGTGAGTCAGCAGATTTCAGGACTCCAGACATCCTCTTAAGTGTTCTTCACAAACACTTAATATTGTACAGCAGAGACATGACACAGCATTTAGCAGTTGACTATCTATTTTCCTTCCTATAAGTGAAGGACAGTTATACTTAGCTTCACTTGTGAGACTTCCTGTGGCCTAAAAGCCAGATCCACATCTAGAGCCACTGCAGTGGATGCACTGTTTTTAAGGCTCCTGCTGATGTTGTATTCATTAAGACTCAGAGCTTTCACAGCAACGGAGCCTGGCTTGTGGCTAATAAAGTTCAGTTTAAGTGCTCCATGAAATGGGCTTCATCACATGTGGTGAGGAAGAGCTCACAACCAGTACTTTGTGAGTCCCCTCTAACCTATGCATAATTCATCATGGGGCTTCTTTAAGTCCAGACCCAACGGCAAGTCAATCTGGACCCAGTCCATACACTGTGTTATGAAAGTAATACATTATGAAGTGTAACGTTTTCAACAATGTGATGGTTATTGAGCATGTGCCTTTCATCTGCCATCGATTAACGGGTGGAGAGAAACCGAGAGTGATGTTAGCCTCCTCCATGCACTGCTCACTTGCTATTCATGAAAACAGAATTGTGGGTCATTACACTCATTTTCTGGCAACTTTGACAAAGAAAGTCATCAATGTCTGTCCCTGCATGATACTGCGAGTGAGAAACCGAAAGGCAGGACCGAGCTGGTGTGTGTGTGCAGTAAGATACAGAGGTGGAGGTGTGTGCAAATATCTAATATCTATATCCAAATATTTGGGTCCAGCCCTAATTCACAGCCATCCTGTCACCAAATGAATGTGGTATTATTATGGCTTATCATTGACATTGTTGTCATGGCGACGTTAACTGCCGGAGTGACAATGTGCATTGTTGCTGCGAGTTCACACATTAGTGTACCTGAGAATTTATCAGCTCCTTAATCACACATACAGAATGTGTCTCATTTTCTCTAGTACTATGATTAAATGTTAATATGTTATCTCCAATCCTTCGGGACCTTCTTGAATAAAAAGCTGATTCACCTTTTTGAATAATATGTTTTAGAACCCCTGATAGATACGGTGCATGTTGATCTCCCTTTGCACATTAAAGTGAAGCAGTGGAAGTGACCAAAGCAAGATTGTATCTTGCAGCAACATGTTTGTTTTTTATAGATTTTCAAATGAATTTGCAGATAGATCTTGGATCACAGTGTGTTTTCACCGTTTTTTTGCTGTGTTTGTAGGCAGCACCAATCCTCTGTGTGTACTGCAGTTAGATGATCCTCCACAGAGGTTTAACACCTCTGTTTTGAAGAACACAACCAATCCTGCCTGGGACCAGCCATTTATTTTGTAAGTTTTACCACAGAGCACTGCTTTTTCCAACATGTTTGTTTTTATTGTTTCAGTGGAATAGATCAACATCCGTAATACATGTCCTTTTCTTTTCCACCAGTGAATTGAATGGACTTTCAAAAGAGCTCAATATTCAGTTGATGAATGATGGACAACCACAAGAGAGTGAGGATATGACTGAGTTTGTCATTTTTTTCACTAGTTGTAACTGTCACATGTTTAGGTACTACCAGACTAAACTGTGTTTTCTCTCTTTCAGATTCCTTACTTGGTCAGGTGTCAGTGCCTTTTGATCTCGTAAAGAAGCATCCCAAAGGACAGCAAACATTTGCACTCATGACCAAAGACGGAGTGACTGGATCACTTACTACTGACGTAAGACCATCATCCCAGTTAACATTAGGACATTATCACTTTAGATATAGTTTAATTCTTTCCATGTATCTGAGGTTTTGTGTACACAAAGTTAGAATATAAATCATTTTGAATTCTGTGCTTCAGTTTACCTACCTGGAGCCCAGTGAGGTGAGGTCCTGGCACCCTCCGACCCCAGCCTCCAGTAAGAAGGTGGAGATGGACCGTACAGTCATGCCCTGTGGCACGGTAGTCACCACCATCACTGCGGTGAAGAGCAAGCCAGGCCGACCACTCCCTCTTGGACTCAACATAGGTACAGCACCACAAACCGTGAGGATGCACGGCACATGGAGGCTAATTTATTCTAGTGCTGCCAATGCAAGAAGAGCCTTGGCAGTTGAAAATCCAAACAGCTGGTGCAAAGAGATATATATATATATATATATATATATATATATATATATATATATATTTTTTTTTTTTTTTGGAGTTACTGTTCCAAAAGAAGAGTATTGGCTAGAACTGGAAGTTTTGAAAACTTTAGTTCTTATCACCCAGCAGATCAATGGTGTAGTCACTGGTACTGGAAACAAGCCAATACAAGTGCCAATACAAGTACAACAAACCAGGCGCTGCAGCAAAAACACCCCTCCTCCCATTCATTTTGAATGGGCATAGTGCTTTCAGGTTTAGGTAGCAGACTAAAAGGCTTCAAACTGCTCAACAGTCAGCATGAAATATCACTGAAACAGCTGCTATCCACTTTATGGACCACACTATGATGTTATCCCAGTTGGGTCCTTGCTTGGTTTATTTCGTGTGTGTTTCATCTGTCTATGGCTTGCAGTGTAAGTACAAGTGGTAAAAAGAGCTCTGTGTCTAAGTGTGATATAAATAGGCTCATGTTAAACGATAGCAGGAGGACATTCTAGATGTTGGTAGACATTTTTAATAAAGACATTGTGATATGATGCACAGGTGAAAATAATAACATTAGTGATTAAATTTAAATTCCATTTAGCTCCATTTAGGTTTTGGGCTCCTGGTACTGTGCATGCTGGCTCACTGACATTGTAATGGGTTATTGGGACACTTAAATACAACAGAGCCATCATTAAGCGTATTAGTAAGAGCTGTGCTTTTCCTACTATGACAAGTCAAAATGTCTGTTGTGATAAGGGCCTAGTGGTGGACCATTAAGATAACTTTGTACTCCCTCAGATCCTGCCCAGAAAGCGGTGGCCAACAAGCCCAAGCTGTCGGAGCGCCGTGTTTCAGAGCAGGCGTCTATGCTAGGGGCCACAGTCAGCAAGGCCCTGTCCTCTTCTGACACCGAGCTGCTGATGCTCAATGGCACGGACCCGGTGGCCGAGGCCGCCATCAGACAACTCCACCAGTCTGCCAAGCAGAAGCTCAAGTCCCCAGTGAAGAAGAGTACCATCATCATCTCTGGCATCGCCAAAGTAAGGATGAGCTCCAGTACCAAAGAAACACTTACTATTTCTCTCTAGTAGAACCCTTTTTCTTATTTAATATGCAGGGTTTTTAAATGAAATCAGTTTCCACTGTGTTCCCTGACCTGTTGATCATGAAGAAAGAAATAGATCTGTAATGGAATGATGCGTGTCATGTCTGTAGACTTCATCTACCGACCATTAAAACTGGGCCTTCCAGTGGAAAAACAGTTTGCCATCACCCTTCTCTGATTACATGAAAAGACAGGTGAACACAGGTCCTCAGAGCTGCCAGTGCAAATATTTGCTCATTCTTGATGACAAAGGAAATATTGTTTTACGAGAAATACATTTTAAAGACTGGAATATGCTCAATTTCCCAGACGCCCTTGTCTCAGGACGATGAGCTAGCTCTGATGGCGGGCTACGCCGCAGCGATGGACGCCTCCATGTCAGAGGGCAGCTCTACTCAGGATGTGACCATGGCGATCGCATCAGGGACCAGTAGCCCTCCAGAGGAATTGGAGCCCCAGGAAGGCCCCAGTGGAATAGGCAGGCCTCCAGAGGACTGGGAGAGCCAAACCGGAGAGGAACTAGACCATACGTCGCTCTCCATGTGTGTGTCTGAGGCGAGCTGCAAGAAGAGCAGAGGTGAGAGGCCACAGAGGGGACTCACTGACTACCTGAAGCCACGAGTTAATGCGAACATGGTGACATAGCTGGTCTTTATAGGCGTATAATTCCATAAATCATACTTTCAGTCCTCCAAAAACATATTGCCTTAAAGGCAGAACTTGATTTTTTCCATTTGGCTGTTTTCATGGCCATCTGTTGCTCCTCAGTGATGCCGTCTGTTTTTGTGTTCTTCTCTCTCTTTCCTTCCTACTGTTTCAACCTTTCCTTTTTGAACTACCATCACTGCCACCTTAGAGGAAAGCAGTGCTAAGCACACATTATGTCCAGATGAGTAAGTTATTTCACAAGTTACTTGTAGTATCCTTGGTACTCTAGTATGTGTAGTCTGCTACAGTAGCTCTCAGTAGAGTAGATAACATAGTGTTTCTGCAATGTCCAATTCATTTTCAGCTCATGTCAAATCATTTGGGTATTAGTCCATCATATAGTTGCTATATTTTAGTGTTGTGGGGCTGCACAATATAGACAATGTACTGTGAACATTTTGAGTTATTTGCATGTATTGTATGTTAGGACCTTTAGTACACTGTGGTGGAGGATCCCCTGCACTGGACCTACAGGTGGCAAAGATCATTCTTACTATTTCAGTCTATAATTTTGTTCTAAATATGGGCATCAAAAGGTCAATCATAGAAACCTGATACCGCAGAGTAATATATCACTAAGGAGATCAAACTGTATCTGTACTGTACATTGTCCAGCCTGTATGAATGCATTCTGTAAGGAGGAAACTGCTGTTACTTTCTGCATTTGTCATTAGTTAGAATTAGTTTTCATAGTTTTTCTAATGTGTTATGTCAACGTAATCTAATCCACAGATATTAGCCACTCCTTATGTGCTGAAAGGAAGGAATGATGCTTGCAGTAAGGTTTGACTACGTGGCTGCTCTTTGTTGGTAGTCCAGTATGTGTTAGCTGGGGATTAAACAAGTTTCTCCAAGTCTGATTATCAGTGAAACTTGACAGAGCTCTTTCACAGAGGAAATACTAGTAGTCGGTTTGGGGGGGGTATATTTTTTTCCCTTTTCATGCCAGATTTTAACAATCCATAAACAACAATTTCCAGCTAACACAGATTCTGTGCCACTGCTGCTTCAGCTGTCTTCACAATGCTGCTACTTCAGATACTTCGAAGGAATGTTGTACACGCCTGCAGTTTTAAGTGGCATCATCTTGACATAGTCCTTACCTCAAGGTATCACAGTGAATAATTCCTGTCCTTTGTTTCTCCACTGCAGGCAGCTTCCTTCAGAAGAGTGCCAAGCTCTTCTTCCGGCGGCGTCACCAGCGCAAGGACCCGGGGATGAGCCAGTCGCACAATGACCTGGTTTACCTGGAGTCTCCAGCTGCAGTGGAGCGGGCGAGCCGAACAGCCACGCTTAGCCGTATGCTCAACCGCAAGAGCAAGAATAAGAGCAAAGCCAACGGCTCTACCTCCATGGGGGAGCCACATGTGTGACCCCTCCCTCCTGTCACCTCAGTCCCTCCTACAACAACTACCATCACCACCTTCACCTCAAAGTTGCACTGGCAAACTTCCTGGCTAACCTACCCCCCACCCCCCTGCCCGACCTGCATAATGGTGCGCCTGCATTGTGAATGGGAAAGCTGTGCAGATGGAAAAATATCCTCTTTAATTGCCGTATCGTGCTTCCTATGAGAAGCAGATATTCCACTAAAAGCAAGTGTATGCATGTGTGGATGAAGGTCTCCTGTCTTGGATTAATGGCATTTCAGAGGATATTATTTAGCATGTTTCATATTATTTGATTTTATGCAACATTTGAAATCTTTAAGTGCTTTTGTGGCCTTGTTACAGACAGAAAGGACTGGTGTGGGCCGTCACTCTTTACCTCACTGACACTGAGGATAAGGAGTAAACTCTCCCTGCTGTAAACCGTAAGTCTCCTACGGTGGACCAACAGGACCAAAGATTAAGAGAAGAGTGGTATTTGTATGATTTGCACAATTTTAGTACCTTTATTTAAAGTGCAATGACAGGAGCTACTCTTGTGTTAGAGATACATGTTGAAAACATTCACAAAGGGAGATGATCTTTTCGATGCACAACGGGGGAAATAGTAACACGACTACTTTTTGACACTAATACTATGAAATGTGGTGTTTATATCAGTTCATTTAAAAGAAGTAATTTTATTCAAAATGAAGATAAGATGTTCCTTTATTGATCCCCCTTAGGAGAAATTCAAGCAATGAAGCAAGATTAGAGCAACAGCTATATGCAATGTGCATATAAAAGCTGTAAAACAAATGTATCCGGAAAATTGTCAGCCCTCATGTCTAACAAAGATACCAGAAGTCGTAGTTTATGTTTGGCATGTGCGGAGGCTGTGTTATCAAGCCTTTAACATGAGTTCACACCCTTCCACAAAGAAAACAAAGAAGCAGTGACACTGTGGCTAACAGAAACTTTAGCTATATGTGAGCGTTTTATGTTTACTCCTCTCTGCTGTGTTTTCAGATGATATGCAACTTTCTTCTTTGTCTTCCTAAAAGATTGCTCTTTTACACTACTGTTATCAGCAGGGTTGTTAATGTGTCAAAAGGGAAGCGAATGAACCTCTATCCAGGGACTGTGACGTTACACTCGGCCATACTTGTCACATTACGCACTAATCAGATTTGTTTTACACTCATTTCAACCCTGCATTTCACCTGAATGAAATCCTCAGTCTTTTATTTGATGTTTTATTGTTTTTAAAAGATGTAGCTTTGAACACATGAACAAGAAGAAGTGTGAACACCTTTGGGGGCAACCACATAGTTTGGCTGCTTTTTTTTTTTTTTTTTTTAAATCCAGCTAATGATTGTATTTTTGTTTTTGTAAGCAGCTTGTTGAAGACATTTCTGTACATCATGTAAACTACTGTTTAGTGAATCTGCTCAGAGGATTGATGCAGCACAGTGACAGACAGAACTAACAGATTGCCTTACAGTTATGTCTGAGGATGATGTCACGGGTGGACTTCCTTGACTTGACGTTTGGTTCCTGAGGCTGCGTCCACCAGAGGACTGAAGGACTGTGGCCAACAGTTGGACTGGCTCTGAGAGACGAGCGTACCGCCATGTTCCTGCACCATCAGTAATGTCTATAATCAAGAAGCCTATGCACATAACATTAACTGAGTGTTTACATTATTAGACTATCAGAATTAAAAACACTCACTTGCTGTTTATGGCAACACTCTGCTGCAGATTCAATGTGGGTTGTCTTTGTGTCTTGGTATTAACAGTACATAGAGATCCATTCTCATCACCTGCTCTCCTCCATCATCACTGATTAGTCTGCTTTTTAAAAAAAAAAAAAGATTCCGATTTGGGCTGAAAAAAGAAAATTCTGTTACCATTCAGACAGAATCACCTTTAAACTCTGAGGAACGGAGGGGAAAACGGGTTTTAATCATGCTCAGCTTCAGAGCCCTTGTTTATGGCAGCCTGCAGTCATTGGCTACTGTTATGCATTGAGTAAGCAGTAGGGCTGTATGTGATTAATAAACTGCTTCCTTATGTTTTTTTTATTTGCATCTGCTCTGTGCACAGAAACTGACTTAACTGTTGTTACAGAGTGTCAGTTATTTCCCTGCAGGGATTGTAACTAATATACATATCCAGTTATTTCATTTTGGACAATAAATATTGATTGAATAACTGAGCTTGCGTTGCCGCGTTGAGTCTCCTGGCTGTAGTGAATTGTCTCCAGTGCTCCTGTAACTTGGAAACCTGTACACGTTGTACAAATTCTGTTCCACTTCTTTTATTTTACAGTGGCTTTTGTTCATGAAGGGTCAACAGTATCACTGCACAATCTGTAGTAGAAACAAACTCAAGTACAGTTTTGAGATAGTTGTACTTGACTAGAATATTTGCATTTAATGCCGCTTTAGACTTCTACTCAACTACATTTCAGAGGGAAATATTTCACTTTTTACTGCACTACGTGTATTTGACAGCTACAGTTATTTTGCAGATCCTTTTTTGAACATTATCAGCCTCACACACGATGCATTAATCAGTAAAAAACTCATTAGTCTGTAGTGCACAGAAGTTTATTTTCTCCTAAAATGGGGAAACAAAATGTGGCAGTGCAGTTGGAATCCACCTGTTTTCATACTTCTGGTGCTGCAACCTGTGTTACTCTTTCTTATTTCATGAAACAGACACTATTAACACATTTAATTTATTATTAACGTGTTAATTTAGATATTTTGCACTGAAAAATATGTTTTTTAGGAGTCAATTACAGACTGAAGTGGCTTTATAAGAAGGTTTTTGCAGGTTTTACTGCACAATACTATAATACTATACATTAGTTAAAATCAGCTCGACCCTGACCAGCTAGACTGTCAATGCTGCTAACCGGTCAGAGCAACAGTGGTAATAATCCAGTAAAATATACAACACCAAAAAAGAGGCCATTGGTCTAAATGAACAGTTTAACTTTTGTTATTTAAAGCATATTCAGCTGATAATACTAGGGCACTTCAACTTGTAGTATTTTTACATGGTCGTATAATTGATTTTACTCTGAATAATTCTTCCACCACTGTGTGCTATGTAGTAAAATGTGTAAATAAATACATAATGTAAAAAAAAATAACCACCACTTTTATTTATAAAATGTATTTTAAAATTATAAATGTATAATTTATACCACTACTGAGATGAATAATATGGAAATAAGGTTCTGTGTTAATTAATAGGACAGAATTGAGACATTTAAGTACTTTTCCATATCTCTTCAACCTCTAGCTGCCTAATTAATACTTGATTGAGTTGTTTTGCGTCAATTCTGTCGAGCCTACAGCTCCCATAATGCACTTGGCGCGCTTAGTTTCCGGTCCTGCGCTGTTTCTGGAGCGGATTGGAACCCGGAGTCAGGATCCGATAAATGAAGGGTCTTCTGCAGAAAAGGTAACGTGTTTCCCCACAAATGTACATGGAGTTTCTACAAAATGGCGACGCAGTATTGTAGTGAGTGTGCAGCCGGTGAGTCCGGTTCGCTCCGGGTTTCTTTGAGCCGCCTCCGCCGCTCTCTGCCTGCCGTTAAAGAGCATCGACTCCGGTTTGGTGGTTCGCGTCTCCGGTCCATCCGCCATGCCGACTGTTCTTTGTTACATTGTACTGAAGAGGAGCCGCTCAGATCGGAGTTAAAACCCGGCTAGAGTTTGGGAACGACTCAAATCCCGGATCCCACCTCCTGCCCAGACTGTATACGTTAATGTGCATGTTTGAGCTGTATCGCTTCCACCAAAAACCAGTTCATGTTGTCATAACACACCACTGTTAAGACAGGAGGTCTGATGCATTCAACACATCTGAGCTATCCCGGGTTAAATGTGAATGCAGGCTCACATTCTACCACTCTTAAAAGTAGTTCCTTCATTTTAATGCATTTTTGACTTGACTGCTGGTCAGCTTCCTCCTGTCCTTCCTTCCTTCTGATGACATGATCTCCTTTATTTCTAGGTTGGCATAATGGCTGAGCAGGCGCCAGATGAGTTTATCTGTGAGTATGAATCCAGCTCTCACTGTACTGGAAGTGTGTGACAGTGCAGTGGTGACAGGTGTGATGTGATGTGTGTGTGTGTGTTTGCAGGGTGTGAGGACTGTGGCCAGTACCATGACTCTGAGTGTCCTGAGCTGGGGCCGCTGGTGACCGTGCAGGACTCCTTCGTCCTCAGCCGGGCCCGGTGAGTGACAGCTCAAAGTGTTTCTAAGTTTCTAAAATTTAACTAGGAGGGAAAAACATAATCTCAATCTACATTTATTTTTGAATTTCCTGGTAAATGATTCACAGAACGCTTGTAGGAGGTCTGAGGTAATAATGTGTTATAATTTGTGTGTTATTGCCATTTCATAGCACTCATACTATGTTGTCCCTGTCCTGGATCAGGTCGTCTTTACCAAGCAGCCTGGAGATCAGACCGGTGGCGGACGGGGAGGAGGGAGTGTTTGTCCTGCGCCGGCTGGTCAAGAGGACCCGGTTTGGGCCCTTTGAGGCTAAGAGAGTCACCCACCTGGAGAAGGAAGGAGCGTTCCCCCTGAAGGTACAGCTTGTACATGTTGAGAACACACAGTCATGTTGTGTTGCTGTAAATGGATGGATTTGATAGTTTTCCTCGATCCTCCAATGGACAGATCTTCCAGAGGGATGGCGTGGTGGTGTGTTTTGACTCCAGCAGTGAGGAAGACTGCAACTGGATGATGCTGGTGCGACCTGCCACCGACCACAAACACCAGAATCTGACGGCTTACCAGCAGGACGATGACCTGTACTTCAACACCTCCCAGGTACGTGTGTCCAACCCAGACCTGGGCCTCTCGGAGGGATCCGTTTAGTCCTGCAGCTCATTCCTTTCTAACAGGAGACTGGTGTATTCTTCCTTTGTTTCCCAGGATGTGCTGCCGGGAACAGAGCTGCGGGTCTGGTACGGAGCTTTCTATGCCAAGAAGATGGAGAAGCCCATGCTCAAGTCTCCACTTCAGCCACCACCCCCAGCAGGTAGATGACATTACAGCACCGATGTGGTTTTAGGGTGCCATGGCAACAGTGGGAGTGGTATTTAATAGTTTTTCTCTCTTTTACTCAGATGTGACGTCTTCATCTGCTAAGACTGAGTCCTCAGCGAAAAGTGGAGCCCACATGCCCCCAGTGGCTGAAGAAAACAATGCAGGTAAGCAGCCATCACCTCCAGTCAGTACATTTTAGATATGTTCTCTTCTTCCATTAAGATGGAGGCTAGTTTTGGGGTCATGTCTGGGTTTGTTTTAGGCTTTAAATTGTATTCGGCGGTAGTTTCCTGTTTCTTTTCTCCACAGTGAGTCCCAGCAGGAGTGGGAGTCAGGTTGTTTACCCCTTCAAAACATCTCTTAAGCTGAGGAAATGCTGTGTCATGGTGGCACGCTCTGATTCCACTTCTTCCCTCTGTTGTGCACAGGCAACATGCTGAGTCATCTCGACGAGGGGAAGACGGTAACGGTGCTTTCGGTCGACCCTCTCCTTCCCCAGGAGGAGAGCCTGGTCGGCCCCGACGAGGAAGAGGCCGACCCCCCCGCAGCTCAACCGGGCCCCAAGAGAGGTCAGGGCCGAGGGAGGAGAGCTAAGGGACGCAGGCCTGGAGCTACAGCTGCCGCGAGCAAACACAAAGGTGAGGAGCAAAAAACAGGCGGCCTAAAACAAATAACAGTTTAAAAGTAGATGTTTGTGATGTTCTTTGCGTTTGTGGACCCAGTTTGTGAAGAATTTGCTTGACATCGTGTTGAGACATCATGACATCGGCGATAAAATTTAGGATTTGTGGCCGTCCATAAAAGAGCAGAAGCTTCTTTGGAGGCTCACTATCCTGTACTGACATCCAACAATCATACAATCAGAGATTGATCAGAGAGATACTAGTTATTCCACTGTAGCTCATTTCACAGCACAGTGCAGCCTCATGCAGAAAACATAACACATACAGTTCTTACTTCTATCCTCCACATTGCCGCCACTACACCACCACTGTCCGTCTTTATGTGACAGGTAACTCTGAACAACAGGTTCAGGCACATTCTGCAGAAGGTGTCAGATGGCATTCTGGGAAAATGTTGCAATTATCTATCTGAGGTGACAGGAGATGGAGCAGCTTCATGAAACTGAATATAGTTCTTCCTGTAGTGCAGAATGACAGCATCTAATCTTATACACTGTCAACAGCGTCACAGCTTTGTCATTTAGCCATGTTAGAGGTGTGGCCCAAGGGATATTGCTTTTCTTTTTTTTTACTTTATTAAACTTCAGATGAGGAACAGGCATCATATCAGTGGATCCAAGCGTCAAATCATCAACTGCAATCTATCAGTAGTCCAGGAACAAAACAAAGGCAACAACAATAATAAAAACAATTCATACATAAAGCTGTGCTCAGACATACAGTCTAGGTATTGCAACAAAAGCCCCGAAGATTCTTCCCATTTGTGTTAAAATCACAGTTTCTCCACTTAAATAACTGAGACAAGTTCATTCAACCAGATTCTGAAGCACAGTGCACTGGGAGTCTTTCAGCCTATGAGAATATGTGAGGGGAGAGTTAGAGTCCTGCCAGTTCCCTGACAGGAGAGCGAGTCCTGCAGCGAGTCCTCAGAAAAAAAGAAAGAAGTACTTGACCAAAATGGATGAATTAGTGGACAGTTCCTAAATAAATAAGTCCTCAGAATGACACACTACATTTCCAGTATCAGTTGGACCCTTATTAGCACCCGTTGCTGCATCTACCCTAGATTTCTCATTGACATTGGACTCCTGATGTTGGCAGATGTGAAGACCTCAGTGAAGAGCTCAGAGCCGGTGGCCTCAGCGGTGACAGCGGTGGCGGCAGCAGCAGAGCGCAGCAGCCTGCTGAGCACTCCAGACAGCGGGGTTGTCCTGAAGAGACACAAAACCAGAGAGCACAAGAGGGTGTACCGCTGCTCCCTCTGCAACAAGGTCTTCCAGAACAGCAGCAACCTTAACAGACACGTCCGATCTCATGGTATGTGGAGATTAGTGAGTTCAGAAGCTAGATAAATTGGGAATCGGTGGATGCTTAGCATTAACCAATCCCTTCCTGTATATTCTCCTAGGTGATAAGCGGTTCAAATGTGATGAATGTGACAAGAAGTTCAGCCGCAAAG